AACTTTGTACTCGACTCAGCCATTCCTAGGTAGCAATGACGTTCTCGTGTGGGTGTTGAGGATTTAAAAGCTACTCCTCGATCTTTCGACTTTGGCAAACAAGAGTTGTTTTTATCCTTACATTCCCGCAATCTTTCATTTATTATCTGTTAGCTAAACAAGTTGATATCATTGGTTCTTCTTTGTTCGGATAACAATGTGCTGTGAAACATAGCGCTTGCAGCCAACATACACATATGTTTAGATGTTGCGTGCTGAGGACTAGGCTTGTGAAACGAATTACGCAATCAGTCTGGAAACTGATGCATGCTATGCACGCCTTATTTTTCTTCGTACGTCCTTATGTAACCGTGTTTTTATCGGTGTACTGTGGTCCATCATTGCAATGCTTTGGAAGTATTTGTAAAGAGGCAACGCAGTGGTGCAATCGTGCGAATATAAATTGCTTTACTTGAAATTCAATTTGAGCAATGAGATGCATCAGTCTTTGAGTGTCTTAATTGATATTTAAAGGCTCGACCCTTTTCCCCGCATTCAATAACCAGTCTTTAGATTTTTTAATTGCACCCCACTTAAGCAACGCTGAATGTGGGTAAAACATAAAGATTTGATTAGCTCTAATATTTTCTTTAGGTCGCCAAGTCGATACACGAGTTCTACCTTTGGTGAATGGACGAAATTATTATGAAAGCAATCTACCATCCGAAAGCCTGGTGAAACGTGGTGTTCCCTAGCAAATCCTCAAATGTATTAGAAAATTGAAAGAGGAGCATTGTATGACTGCATCTGTCTATGATTGTGGTGACATTACGAGCCGAACATAGAGGCCGCAAGCTCGGTAACTGAAAACTTAGGCAACAACAAATTAAACCTTGGAGAGGCATATCTCCAACACTTGTAAATCCAAATGTAAGATGTGACCCATACTTTAATTAATGTGTCGCGCTGCCTACGTGCCAACCGTCAAACTTTGACAAAGTCAGTTTTGAAATTTTAGATATTGAAAAGTGCTTTGAGACCTAAACACGGTCATTCTTTATCTGTCAAAAGTTAGTCAAACACCAGCGTTGAAACAAGTTCCAATCCCGGTTCGGAGTTGGCGGTTTGGCGCATCTTTGACGCCGTCACAGTGAACTTCTTATTGAGGGCAAGGCGTTTAATCAGATACTGAAGAAGCATAAGCACGCGGCAGTTTTTCGTCTGTGTTAAATGTGATTTAAGTTTCACAATAAAGTATTTGCATCAATGATCATTATCATGTGCTCATCATCAACGATTGAATTTTACAATCGCACTGCCTATAATATTGCGAAAAAGCACAACGATTTGGACGCATTACCAAAAAAGCTTCTAATATTTTTTACATTTGAATTTGTGATAATTTAGTGATGTGACCTTTACGTTCACTAGCGGACATTTTGCTGTTTTTAATTGGTGGTTTGCGGCGTCAACTGCCGGGCCGTGAGTAACTGATTAGTGGAGGTGGGAATGACTACGTCTTCTGAAGTACGTGTTTTTACAAAGTCATATGTGTGGTTGCAGTAATCGAGCTGCTTTGCCACATTCACCTATTGTTTCGACTCACAAAAAATGGTTATTTTCTTTATCGAGCCATAATGCTTCCTTTTTGCAGTATCGCTATGTTTGACTCTAGCTTAAATCCCATGATCTGCAGCATAATTGGGTATCTAACCCATTTTGAACTTGGGATGAGGCACAGTCTGATGCCTTAAAGCATTACTTCTTATTTATGCACTCATGAATTCTACGTTATGTGCCGTCTTGCCTGCCTGTGGAGTAGTTTCCTTGTCCCGTTCTCTTCGCCCTATCCAATACGTCCAAACTTTCAACACATTGCAGCTTTCTCTGTATTTACAATCGTGCTTTGGGGCTTTGGATCGACAGTTACGTAGCTATGAGATGCATTTTCTTAATATGTGGGAACTATGCTGATCAAGCCTCAGATCCTGAGATTGATTAAAATGGTAATAGAAAGTGTTAGTTATGGTATTGCTATTATATGAGCTCTGTTTAACAGCGTTTTCCTCGGCTTAATGACGGAAGTGGGTTCATCATGGGTATTCTAGTGTTGGCAATATTTGGACTAGCTGATCATGACACCGACATGGAAAAGCACTTTACTTTTATCGTTGTTGTCTAGGTCTGCCTTGTTGATGGCGCTTTGGATGGCAAGCAGACGAAAAGTGACAAAGCTGCTTCAGACTTAATTTGCAATATTGCCATTGCGGATATCACAAAAGTCAGTGTTGATGATTTTGTGGTATGTCATCCGATTTCTCCTATCTCTCCAATTGCTAGAAACAAATCACTCTCATCGATATGTCATATTTTGCTGCAATCAAACGGTCTGAGTTCCTTAGTCTCAAATGGAACGGCAGGGATAAAAAGATTTATGCACCAAACATTGTTGAATCTACAAAGTGGTTCAATCAACTCAACTTTTGGGTTCAGAAGGAAATTTTAAAATACCCGGCGGTCAATAAACGTACAGAAGTGCTTTCTTACTTCATAAAATTGGCCAAGGTGAGTTGAATGCATCTGGCACCATCTTCGTAAATGACTACAATTCCAACAGGCAATGCATTTTACATTATTTTATGCATGTGGCGATAGATTAAAATGTTCTTCTGTGGATTATAATTAATTTTACGATCGCTTTTATCTCCAACCTCGCCGATTGTTGATAGGAACTGGTGGTTTCTCGTGTGCCATCGTGGTTTGGCACCCCTTTGTGAGCACTGATGGATGCTTGCAAAAGTTCCACACGCAAAAAACCCTGTCCTTGGTTACGCGTTTTCGGATTTAATTTGTCTTAAAGCACCACAGTCCTTTCCACACATTTTGAATGTTTACTCGAATTCACCCACGATTCTTCGTGTTGCTTCCTTTTTATTCAGCACTTAGTGGAAGTGAACAATCTCTACTCAGCCATGTCAATAGTTTCGGCGCTGCAGGTAGAATGTATCTACCGCTTACGTCTCACATGGTCTGGGCTTGGTCATCGTGAGAGGGCGGCTTACCGACGGTTGGAAGAGCTCTTTGGCCAACAGGACAACTGTCGTCTCCTCCGTGAGCATACCGCTGCCATGCCTCTCCCTGGAATCCCCTATTTAGGTGAGTTTCCTCCGTCATCTCTCTACTCTCATCTGGCATAGGTATATTAAGTGCTTCCTCCCTCCTTGAGGCATACTCAACAGTGGTTTGACTCTGTCAGCCGTTTTGATCCAATCGGTTGTTGACGCAAAGGGTGGTTTTGGTCCTCCGCTTACGCTATCGGCCCAGCGCATGTCTAAAGTAATCCAGCATCTTACTGCGGCTGTTTTGCCTCTCTTTTCTGCCTTAACCTAAAAACCACACTGCGGATTCTATTGGGAGTTTGCGCCAATCTTGGCTGCATAATCTTTCTTCGCGTCAGGAATATTTTGTTGAGCTATAAAAATGCGGTTATTTTGTTCCCATGTTTTGGTAATTTGAAAAACAAGAAATGGATCTCTTAACAGCAGACGTAATGTAAAGTATGAGTTATTTTGGCAGATAATTCTACCTGCATTGTATCCCCTTCACAAGTGGTCACTTTTACTTACAACAAGACGAAACAACTGATAATTGTTGATGAGCTAGAAGTCATTCACTTTTACAAGCTCTAACTACTATTCATGAAAGAAGACTTAGCAGTCTTTCGTCTCCTTCCTTCCCTTTTTATATTTACAAAGGCAACCACTCAATCACTGCAATGAAATTGTTGTCCCCAGGATACCTGAAAGCGATCTGTTTTTTCGGAGTGAGTCAAATAGGTCTTTGCGAGTGTCTTTCCCGCACAATCAGCCTGACCCGTCGGGAGTTATATGGGTGATAAGAGGCTGTCGTTCTCCGTCCCCCCACCTTCCTTGCGCAAAATTCCTCTAGGCGATGAGTGATTCGAATGCATTCTGATGCAAAGTTGCGCACTTCAACTTTTCAGTCGCCCTCTAGCCCTCCCTTTTTGTTCCTTTATAAAGATAAGGCTAACACGAATCCTTACTATACAAATTTTGAGCTATTTGAATACCTAAAGTTAACCATTTTGTGTTGTTACAACTTGAAATCGGCGTACCATGGATGATTTACTCGTAAGTGCGAATTATGGGGGGATTTGGGTGTCTTGAACGAGGCAGAATTTTCCTGCTGGTTTCATTTTGCGTGCAAATGTAAACAATAGATTGAACTGTGAAAAATGAGTCAACTTTGCAAACACTGGCTTCACGACATTATTTTGTGCCCTCAACTAATGTGAGCCCAGTAACTGACGTTGCTTTCTAGTTTCATCATTTTTTTAAAATTATTTCTAATTTGGGAAAATTTTATCGACATGTGTGGGTGTGTTTATGCTCAGGTCATTTGACATCATAATAATCTTGCTGTCAGGGTGGTATTTTGCTATTCTCCTGCTTTAGCATGCAGAAAACAATCCTTTTCCCTTCGTCAGCGATCGGGTTTTGATTGGTGTCATTCCTGCCTGAAATGGGAGAGGTGCATTATTTGATGCGTCCATTTTCATTAAGCTCCATTCTTTTGAGGTGGCGAACCCAAATTCTAGTGCTAGTGAATTTGTTCAATGATCTGAATAGTAAATCAGTTATTCAAGCTTGGATAACAAATGTAACTCGTACTACTCGCTAATGTTTGGTCTCACCTTTTTGTTTGGTCTCAATTCAGATGCAAACAAGTGACTCTGAAAGTGGTGCTTGGCCTGGTTCGTTTATTGTTGAGTCACAGTCCTGTGTTACATGCACTGACCCCTTCCACCCCGCGTCTGCACACACGGGCTGTTTTTTTTGCAACAGATGAAATGAAAATAGGTCTTGTTGGAATGTCCAGGACACGCTGCCGTTATTTTATCGCTGTTTCAGTTGCGTAACTGCCACTGGGGCATCAGAGCACTTCCGTTAGTTCTATTCTTGAAATCACTTAAAAATTACAATTTGATACATGATAGAGATTTCTCACCTAACGCCGAATCATCCCTTACATTCTTTTTACTGTGCGTTTCATTATGGCATTATCCTACAACTACGTCGGTTGTAGTCGCAAAGAATGGATTGCTTTAGTGCAGTTGGTCTGTTTAGTAGCTCCTCTGTCATTCATTTGTTTCATGAGTCACACTCATTTACCATTGGCTTAGCCACACCAAATCACTTAAGTGTCGCGAACATCTCGTGATTCACACTGTTGAATACTACTATAATTTTTTTCCAGGCTATACAACTCAATTCACACGAACAACATATTCACCAAAACTATACGCGTCGGTGTGGGTGCAGACATGCGATTCGGATTGAAGGTGTTACAACTGTGTGAGACCTAGGTATAAAAAGTCAGAGTAAGTGAGACTTCGGCAGTTACTATAGAAGTGGACCATTTGTTCGGGAGTAGCTTCTGGCTTTAGAAGGAATCTACCTCTCGATGCATGCGTGGCTGCAATACCAGGTGTTGCATTCACCTAATATGACACAAGACTGCAAATTCACTGCACTTTTGAGACAGGCAGCTTGCTTCAAGAAAATAGATCCATTTATTCGTGTTTTTGTAGTCGATCATACTATTTCACACTCCCGAGTGCTGTTCTTGCACCACTAGCCCTGGAGGAAGGACTGAAACCTCTCATTTAAAAGTATTTTTTCTCCCCCCCCCCCTCTATCCGGTTAAATGTTCCACTCGGCCTTTCAAATACATCGCACCATTGTAGCTACGGCCATATTTGGCACCGCAGATACGTTCCGTGTTTTATTAGGCGTGGATCACCTCTATGGCATAAAATTTGCGCGTGTGCGCACACTTGCAGCCGCGCGTGAATCAGTATGCATTTGGGTGTTTAGAGAAATGCAGGAGTCATTGACTAAGTGAACAAACGGGCTCCTGCAGCACCTGCTGACCGTCTGGGATCCAGCGCTACCCAGCATGCCCGTCTACAGCCGTCTCAGTTCGATTGCTTACCCATCGTCACCTTGACCTCAGTCTAGCCAAAACCACATTGCCGACGGCACTCGAACTAATGTCGGTGTTGCCTACTTTCATCAAATCATTTCTTCCACATGCAATTGAGTCTCGTAGTATACAGTGATGCACACTTTTATCCCCACCTATCAATATGCAAAAGTTTGAGTGAGATCAACATGTCCTTTGAGCTCTGCACCATTAGGTTTAGCATTGGACTCGTTCTTACTTTAAAACGTGATCCTTCCGACTACCAGGAGATCAAATCCAGCACTCAAGTAAGTACAGATGCACTCATTCCTGTTCTCCCTCTTGTCTTTAAGCATGTTTTTTTTGTGTTGAATATAAATTGTACCTTTTCGGTCTATTTCCTTACTCTTTACTCCTTTCCGGCTATTCTGCAAGCAGTAATTGGGCTATTGTCTTGCCTGGCCAATGTACCCTTTCCAAGGAAGAGTTGAATTCCTGTGGATTTTAAATGACCTTCCCATCTCTTTTATTAGCACTAGTTAGCGGCTCTGCGCGTCTGTGTGCAATAGGCCAGCAGTGCTGACATGTTATGTTCATTGAGGCTTTAGTCGTCGGATAAATGGGGAATCTCTTGGTCACATCTGCATTCTTAGCCGATCTTCGACCCGGCCGAGTTAGATTCCACAGTTGTGCTTTCACATTCAGCACCACCATAAAGGACAATAAGGCACGCAATCTTCCACCTTATTAGCTCTCACAACGTGAAACACATGAAAGTTGTCCCACCTGTACGGCTTGATGCGCCTCTTACCTGACTATCATCGCCATTCCATTAACTGTGCATGTCATTATTTCTGAACCAAGTAATATTTGGAAACAAGTAGATGGCATTTTCATGGGCGATGCTTGCAAGCATGTGTGTGCGTATGACCTTGCTGAAATGCCATCGAAAGTCTTATGGGATAAACCAAGATAATATCAGCCCTGAAAGACTATCATTCGTCTGTTGGTCACTCCTAGACCAATTTCGATGCAAATAAGTTGGTGCTGCGATAGAAGCAAGAAAAGGTAGGAGATGTCTAGACATTAACCATTCTGGGAGTATCAACGAGGCTGGTCTATTGCTGCTTAGTAGCCCAAGTGTAAGTTTCTCCAAGTCGTCAATTGAGGGTAAGCTGAACGTGTTTCTTCCTCATGTGCTAGCGTTTTTGCTTTCTCTCACTTATGTACCGAAATGAAGTGGACAGCGTGCAGTCCAAAGTGAGCGGTGAGGCAGCACTTTGTCCCCGAGCCTTTCAGGGAATAGGTACCGTTGATAAGAGAAAAAACCAAAGTCCACATTTTTATCAGTACAATGCGATATTTAGGTATACCTTGTAATAAAAGACAGGAAGTTGGGATGTGGTGATCTAAACTTTTAAACCAGTATGTTTGCAAGTACTGAAGTGCTTTTAGTCATCATTGGAAGTATAGCGGGTTGGAAGGCCATGCTGCGGTAAGGACTGATGCTCGCATTAAACTTGGTTTTGGGCGTTTGAGGAATGTGCAGTTGCTTGTCCAATTGTTGGGTTGCCAGCATCAATCCGGTTACGTCATCGGTGTCTTGCATGAACCCTATTTTGGACAGTTTTGGTGTCCCTGTTTCTTTCGGTAGCTCTACTCGCCTTGAGGTCGTCTAAATGGCTAAATCATACCGAATGATGAAGTTGCTCCAGACTTTGACTGGGACATTCTTTTAATGTTTCGGATAGTCCTTCCGACTAAAACTTTAATGAAGCAGAATCGAAATGGGAAACGCTTTATTTGGTGGGCTGGACAACTAAGTTATGTACAACACCCCTCGATGTATGCCCAATGGTGCCGCTATGGCAACTAAACTTATTCTTACCAATGAGGTATTCCAGTGAATATAAATGTATCATTGACTATGAAAGTGAAAAAAAAAGCACTCGAATGAATTTTGTTGAATATATTCAAACTTCTGTATATACAATTCGAACGACTACCATCAGATCGCTTGAGGACTGACGCTTAGCATAAACCTCTACTCTGACATGTATCATGGTGTTGACGTTTTGAAATGACATTGTTTTCTAACCTTAGGTTCGAAGAGCAATCAATTGTGGGTTACATAGCAGTGCCGGTGATCTTTGTTATCTCTGTCTCTATTTCATGAACCTCACGGTTCTTCGCGTGCTTCCCCAATCACAGGTCTCTACCTCTCTGATCTCATTTACACCAACGTGGCACATCCGCGCATCAATGGCCAGCCAACAACGGTTTGGGTGAAGAAGCTAAACACCATTGTGGACGCCATCGCTCACTTCCAGCAGTCGCGATTTCGTAAGTATTTCTCTTCCAGAGAGATGTCTGCCTTGTCCATTACATTGCAAATGCGTTTGGTTTATCCCCAAAACTCAGTCACCGAACTTTGAAAAGGTGTGGCTTCTATTTGAATATTCAATCTGATCAGTAATGTGTACATTCCGCACGGTTTGATTTCGTTTTAATAATAATTTCTCTCACTCTTTTTCATGGTATCCTAGAGATCTACACTTTCTTATTCATTGTATGCATAGATTTATAATCATTAAGTTGGGCATACATACTTCATTTGTAAGGGTCGAAGGCGTGGATTAGGTTTCGCTCAAAGTGGCTCAGTTTCTCTAAGTTGACAGAGGAGAGCCTATCGCGGCAAGGGCTAGTAAAACTCCGATTATTTCTCCAGTCGAATACCAGCCCAGCGGTCACTTAATCCATCCCACATCTCCCTTCCCAGATTTGTCTCAGCTCTTATAAAAAACGGCAATTTAAATTTATCAGCCGCTTTGCTCTCCTCACCTATCGCATGTTCATTCGTACAGTCAGTTGATGCTTGTACTGGTGGCTGACAATGGCGACGTTTGACGGAGCCTTTGATCGCTCTTCGCGACTGATGCGCTCACCATTTGCGCACTTTCTATTTTTCGCCCCACATGCTGGATGGGGAGGTGGGCACGTGCACGTGTGTGTGGTCAATCCACGACCCGCGCGAGACGCTGGCATCAGCGATTTTTTTGAGACAAGTGACTCTTCCTCTCCCCTCTCACGTTCTAAATGTTTGATCTTTTACGTGATAAAAGGATTCTGGAAAAGAGGTAGATTTGGCCGTCAATTAGTGAGGGATGAGGGCTGTAGAGGTATGCAACAGGTCTGGAATTCCCAGCCAACCGTAACGTCATCGACCGGATGCTTACGTGGTACCATGAGTTTTTGGATTTCGCATAACAATATTAAATAACTGCACTCACAAATCGAAGTTCATTCTGATTTTGTGAATTCTCCTTATCAGCATCCTTAGTCCGAAAAGCGTGCAGACTTATGGAAATTGATTGGTATCTCATTGGTGTAGGATGAATAGAAAGTTATTTTGGAACAACCGAAGCTACCTCGAGTCTCATATCAGCATCCAAACGAAACTGATTACCTAGAAACTTGTTTACAATCCCATGCCACCGCATTTGCTAGAAATGAATCTGTTTATTTCCCCCTATCTCTCATTTATAGCCAATGGAAGTGTAAACAAAACATTTCATCATTTCCCTTAAGTATGGCAAAAGTCTCTCCTGACTTGTTGATCTTAAGGGATGGTTAAAATAGCGGCACTCAGTTCTTCATGGTCAAGAATGAAGGGTCTTGGTAATCACTCTGCCTCCATCTCTCAGTGATTCACCACTCAACTCAAGGTGTTGATGCTGTTTCCGACCGGCACTTTCTGCTGCCACTTCTTAGCCAAATTTTCAACCACTTGTCGCGAAGCTATCGCAAGCAACTTTGGTACCGAACCATATTCACATTAAGGAGTATCGGTATGCTAATACAGAGGTCTGCTTCATGACCTATGCAAAGCAGTAAACTTGTTTTGGTGGTGCTAGCTTGTCCATTCCTGATCAACAGGTGGCGCTGCACACATTCAATCAACCTAGCGAGGATCTCACAATGCCTCGATGGTAAGGGGAGCCCAAATTAAACATTTGTCTATCCACATTCAGCTTTCCAAGTCAACGAGAGCATTCGCGCCTACCTACTTGCTCAATCCTACATTGAGGAATTGCAGAAGTTCCTCGAGGACGCCAACTTTAAGATGTCCCTCCACCTCGAACCACCCCCCATAATTGATGCTTCTCCGCCTTCTGCTCCACTATCGCTGATGACCCTCCCTGCTACTGCCAACGGGCACAGCACAGAAGGCTCGCGGAGAGGTGTCTCGGCGGTGGCACGCGTGAGTACAGCCACCTCATATAAGACCACTCCGTTGGTCGTAGCTCTCTCTGCAAACTACACTCCTGATCGGGAGCAGGCGCCACGTAAAAAGGCGCTGCCGTCATCGGTGCAGCCACTCAGCTTCAAGGCGACTGCAGCTGCATTGGAGAAGGCAACGACGGGCGGTGGCATGGAGGTAGAAGCAGAGGTGGTTGAAGAGGGAGAGGAGGCAGAGATCTTATGCGCTAAATCCACAAAATCTGGCACCACAGTGAAACTTTCGCTTCCACCGAACCCCGTTGGCCTGTTAGAAAGCGGTGGATGCACCCTCAACTTTGCCAATGTTTCCATTGACTCCGCCGCCACTGCCTCCAAGGCCTACTTTTCTAATGACACATCAATTTCAAAGGCAAGGAAGGTGATCCTTTCGCTGGCTTATGGTGTTTTGTTCAGACGTGATGTATATGTATGTTTATTTATTTCTGGTTGGGACCCCGAAATTCAGCTCTTAACTGAGGCTCACGGATCATGTCAGGAAAAAAATTTGCATTCAAGTCAAAGCACCAGAAATCAACCCGAAAACTTATGAAAAACGAATCATGCGTGAAGTTGATGCTCGATTTGGGTGTGTGAAGAACTTGGAGCTGACGGAGAAGGATTGCCTGTAAGGTTGGAGTATTAGATAGCCGGTGGCAGACTTATGCTCCATTCTTCCGGCTTGTCCCAGCTCCTATGAAGATGATTCTTGGAAAGAAAGTAGCTGCAAGTGCAGGCGTTGTGTGCAATGAATCATTCATGTGTAACAGCCTTCGTCTTAAAGACATGCTATAAGCCGGCCTTACATTACAGCATAAACTGCAGAAATGTAGCTTGAATCTACTCAGTGGAAGGAAGTTGGTCTTGTTGTGAGAGAAAGAAAAAGCACATGACTAGAATTGTTAAGAGTTCACAGAAATTAGCCATTTTTACTATAAAATTAATGTAATGCTTTCTCACTCACTCATTTTACTGGAATAGCTTTTCAGACATCGGAGCGAAATACCTTTTTGAACCTTTAGTTTCAACATGAAAGGAGTGTTTTGACCCTACTGAACACGATCGTATCACTCATAGCGATACCTTTGAACCTCAATTTCAAGCTGATTCCGCTGACAGGAGCGAGCAAAAGGCTTTTTTAATACGTCCTCTCGGAAGTTCAATGGTTGTGGTACTCTCTAACTGTGAACGTTGGATTCATCGTGGAGCTTTCATAAATTGAATGAGCTTTTTCCTTAGTGAAAGCTACGGAGAGCAACATGGTATCAGACTTCCACATGGATTGCCCTTCTATATGTACTGCGTCATTCAACATTCGGTTGATATTCTCCCTTAGGAGGCTTATATTATTTTGATGCGCTAAATCGCCTGTGGGCATATATTGCTGAACTTGGTCTGCGGAAAGTCGTAAATCTGCTTGGGAAGGGTCAGTAGTGAGTAATGACATTGTCATTTTTATAATACGTTTTGTCAGAAATTGCACTTCTACCTGCCCTTCAATTGTGTGTCAACGCTCCGTCATTATTGTCTTTACATGTCAATTAAGGTGCACATCAACCCTTGTTTCAGGAGTGTTTAATCGGAAAGGCATTGGAATCATTGAAACCCTTCTGTGACGATGTGTCGACCTCGACAGACTCCAAATCATTGCACGTGGCAACGCATGACCAGGAGGTGCAGGTGCCCCAATTTCACTCCTCTGTCCTCTGTCCCCTCTGTGGTCGTTCGTCACACACTCTCGCGTCGCAGCAAGAGCGGCAACATGAACTCCAATCTGATTCTCACCCCACCGATGAGCGGTGGGTTTTATTGTTTCCTGTCTGTTTTGAAGGCTTGGCATGTGCACATTGATGTGGCTTTCCCCCTCTCTACAGATTAAGCCGTGTTTATCTTTGATACGCGTTTAGCCATTTGGAATGTTATTCCATCTGGTTGTGTTGGTGAAATAATCTTCTCATTCCCTCTCACCTAGCGGTCTGATTATTGGAGTTTCTTTTCTAATTGTCTTTCAATTTTAACCCTGAGAACCGTTCAATTTACGCATTTGTAATTATGTCGTGAATTAAATGTTTTTCGCAGATTTTTATAGTCATTCCTATTCGCTTGGTTAGCAGCAATCGTGGAACTAATAAATTCTGTAGGGAACCACCTATTCGAAGTGTCAACTATTTTGGTAAAACACGATCCAACATCCAGCAGCTATCCTTTTCTTAAACAAGAAATGCTTAACGATTGTGCACACTTGATTGGCAGTCGATTTTTGGGTTTATAACTCCCACAAATTTTCGTTTCCATTGGTATTGACATTTTCAGCACAGTCTTTGCAGTGAACAATGCAAAAGTCCAGTTTTTGGTGATTTTGTGGCTTTGTCATTAATCTTCATTAGTTGTGTGCAAAACGGGGCCATCAAGATTCCTGCCATATGCATGTACTATGCCCTTAATGGTCGTTACTCAAAACTGCGTGGTTGCACGGACTTAGTCTACTAAATTCGTGCTAAATTTGGTTACTCGATTGTGCTGTCAACTTTTAGTTGTCAATGGGGTTTATGTGAAGAGAGCAAACTTCTGGTCAATGCGAGTTTCATTACTCTGAGTTAGGAAGAAGCATACCAGTAAGGTTTTCTCTTTTCCAGATGTGAAAAGCTTTTCAACTTATTAATAGGTGCGTGAACACCGAGTTGTCGTTGGCTTGTGGTTTTGCCCTTAACCGGTCTGTATCACTCATTATCTGCATTGACCATTGCCTCCAAAATACTCCATATATGCGTTTTGTGGTCTACGCCATTTGTTCATTCTTCTTCCTTAATGGCTTCAAAGCCAGCCTTATTTCAAAAGCATGCGAACGTGCTTTAGTCTTGCTTCCTCAATCTGCCTCTCCTCTGACCAAGAGATGGTGTATGCAGCATCTTGTTTGGGCAAATATGCAATTTTAAAAAACCTGCTGATTCACCTTTTGGTCGTGTGTAAATATCACCTTGGAGATCTGAAAGGTAGTTTTTTCGCTGTGCATTTAGCCATACAATCGACAAATTTTTGCGCATTACAATAATTCACAGTTTGTTCAGTTGACAAGCTTGATGCTATTTTTAACAATTTTTTAATGAGAGTCTGACACGGATATGATTCAGTCCTTCAGCTTATGCAGCCGCATTTTATTTTGATATTTGCCGCGAGCTTCTCTGGGTCATTGGCATTTTGCTTCAATTGTTGGTATTGTCTTCGGCAAAGTACTGCATTTTTACCCTACTTCATTTTGCTTCTTCTTTCAGTTCACACTACGAGGCTGTCTCTTCCTCCGAATCACCCAGCAAGTCGGACAAGGAGATTGGTTCTGACCCCGCTAGGGTCGAGGCCTCAGTTACTCCTGTCACACCTGTCTCACCAAAATCACCTCTTATCCAAGGCCGCGACATTTACTCAGCTGTGATGGCTGTGGCTAGTCCGAACCATCGATATTGTTCCGCCATCGGAGCGACCAATAGTCATTCTGGTAGGCTTCATGTCCAAACTGCTTTCAGTAATTTATCTCTACGGTCTGTAATGTTTAAAGCCCTGAGCAAGTGTTCCAGTGCTCCTTTGTCTTCCCCATTGGCTGCCAACATGAATGCTATTTTCTTCGCCATTGGGTTGATGGGACATTAATGGAGCTTCGACGGTTTCCTTAAAAATCGTTCATGACTTTTCTCCCAAGTCGGAACCTAACTCCATTAATCTTGCCTCCTTGTCACAAAGTCGGGAAGACATTTAAGGAGACGATGTTGATACACTTCAGCTGGTGGGTCTGGGCGCACCTCTAAAGAATGCATGAATTCTCTGGCCGGTTGTTACAAATTTCACCTACTTTTTTGTGCTTGACTACACCTCGATTAAATTGAAGTCCAACCAATTACTAGCATATGTACTTGGGTTGTAAAGTTATTTTGAACTTTAGAGGCCTCACCGTGGCTGAGTCGTTACTCTCCTTTGAGCAAACGACTTTTGCCGCAACTTACATCCTGAGATTTAAGAACTCATTACGTAGTTAATTTGACTCCGAGTAATGCATAGGAATCTAGCCAACAGATGTCTGCTAGTATGATGCCAGGGACTCAACCTACCAGTAGAATTCAAAGTTGCTAGAATGAGGCCTAAGTTAGTGAAGTTAACATATTTTGCTATTGTCAAAGAGTTTGAAATCGCATCGCATTTGCAATTGCAGAATCTGGAGCTTCTTTCAGTCTCCCCTTCCGATCAAAGGAGGATATACCTCAGTGGCCTCCCACCACTTTCCCCTTCATCATGGCTCTGCGACCTGCCTGTGTGCTTTGTGAAGGCCCCATAAACCGCAAAACCGTCGGTCGTCTCATCCCCCCAGGGCTGGAGCAGGCTTCCAGTGCGTTGATGAACTTGAGCACCTTCAGTGACGATGGCTCCATCTCTCCTCGCCCTTGTCCTACTACTCCTACTCTCCCTCTTCCGCTACCAACTGCACAGCCGCAGCAACGATACCCTCGGAACGCCTCTTGGAAACCCTTTTGGGCAGCTCTTGTGGTAATGGAGGGCTGGACTTCTGGCTACATGGTCTACTTCGATGCTGTGGCAAAGAAGCCTTACCGGCGTGAGGATGTAAGTTGTTATTTCTTTTCGGAACAAATATGTAACCATGCTAATTTGCTGCGAGTCTGTCAACATTGGGAGAGCGACTCGATTCTTTTGGGATTTAAACCCAAACCTTCAGTTCGCAGTCGGACGGTGTCAAATTCAGCCCTTCCAACAATCGCCCATAGATGGAGGCAAGGTGGACTGTCTTCCGAGCATTGGTTTGGCGCGTCACCGCAACGGCATAGTGGACGAGACTTCCTTCCTGCTGACGCACCCAGGCCTCCATAAGACCTACCGCCTACGTCCCATCGCCCGACGCGGTGATCCTGCGGCAGAAGTTGGTGGCGGAGCTGATGACAATCCTCTCACGCCCACACCACAGCGGCGTGATTCCCGACTCCTCTTCTTCACTCTTTCACGCAAAAATTCCGCTACTACTGCTACCACAACCCCCACTCACACCCCACCTTCATCCGCGTCTCTGCGGGACCGGGGCGCCTCCGCTCCCATATTAGCTGCCGCCGCCCCGCAAACCACAAACGACCTCTCCATGCGGCCAATGCCCACAGTGGAAGATTGGCTTCATGCCCTTCAGGCCACACTCGATCATCTCCAGTCATGATTCGACGTCCTATCTCACCCCTCTCTTATCTCCGAAATATGCTGATGTGCTCATAATCGTTGTTGTGTGTACGTATTTAATGTGTGTAGACGCGAAAATAGCACACCCACGCGCATCCGCTTTGATCTCTTCTGTGTGCACTTCTTTGAACCCCGTCGCGCACTTAGTGCCTCCGCATTCGTCACCCTTACCTTTTTCCACCCTCCACCTCGTGCTTGTGATTCTCATTTTATCTTGCTAAACTCACCAGCTTCTACGACCGCTTTTTAAATGAAGCTAAAACGTGTATTTATGTGTGATTACCGATATCTTAATTTCGCTTGTGGCGAAGGGAGGGGCGGACACATGCAATTCATCACATTTTTTTCCTCTCAAGTTAGGGAATGTGAGTCAATGCGTTCATTTTCTGCCCTACAAGCAGTCTAAAACCCAGGTGAGCGGCGTTTCAATTGATATTTAGTGTAAAGTGGTGCCGCGAAAGGTTAAGGCCATTTTTACATTTGGTGTACACAAAAAGCAATTACGCTTCTGGAGTGCTGAGCTCCTATCCCTCATGTTGAGAGCGTTTTAACACAACGAAACCTGCCTTACTACTCTAAATGGGCACAGAAACGAGCCGAACGGGATTAGCGAGCATTCGGGATGGTCGTGACTGAATACCTCCATTCCTGCTGAGAACTCGTAACTCCTCCATGTCATAGTGACGTTGAAAAAGCCCACACTGATATTTGTGCAATGCGCACGACTTGGGCTCAATCGTGAGAAGGCTTAAATAACCGAAACCATAGCTAGTGAAACAAATTGAACAGTCCACTCGGGGCCAGTGTGATACAATAACTAGTTGGGCTCCATCGCTCTTGCTAAACAGTGCAAAGCAGCAGTCGTTGGAACAAAGTACAGTGACCGGAATACATAAGAAGGGATCATCGCGACAAATGGGCAGGAGGGACCAGTGTCTGAACCTCAGCGTTCTCTGTAGCGCATCGAGGGTACACAGCCCAATTGCTTGTTTTACATTATTCAAGGCCAATAAATATTCATGATATCAGAAGAAAAGCCAGTACATCCACATTCCAAGCGAGAGAGCGCCCAAGGAAAACCTTAATGAACAAAGAGGAAGAGTCATGACAAAAAAAGGATTATTTGATTGGCATTTGACTAATACACGGACTCACCAAGTGATGATGTACTCTGTGTGATTGTTTCGCAGTAGCACTTTCGTCTGGCTTCCTATTGGCCCACCTTTGACAGTTGATCCTGAAGAGACGACAAATGAGGCGATACAGGACCACTTATTTAACTTGTCAGTAAATAGAGTGAGACTCACCATAGTTAGCATCGATGAAAATTGGCAAGGTGTTTAGTGCTTTGGATATTCGAATAACCTCCCGAGCGAAATACTGTTGATGGGGCTGCTGATCCTTTCCAGCATTGCTCATTGTCTTTGGAGCAGGGGTAAATGGAGGAGGCTAAACCAATGAAAGCATTAGTAACGAAGTAAACCTTTTCGTTGTAGCGAATAAATCCGGTAATTTTTATAATTCCTTGAATTTGACCGTCAGGACGAGTGACAGGGTCTCTGAAAGCCGTAGGCACCCAGCCGCGATTAACTAAAATGAACACACTGAGTAATAAAACGGAGGTGACCGAGGTTGACAGCTGCACTCACCTTGGCCGATCTTTAAGCTCAAATGGAGTCACAATACAATAACCGTTTGGTGAGGGCGCTCCGAAATCACTAAGATTCGATTCTTTCGTATGATGTTCAGCAGATGGACTCGAGCCCCAGGCGCTGCCGTAGGCTCCTGCAGGAATGTCGTCTGTGATGATGACGCGAGGACCGATGATAACTTCACGTGAGTGATCGAATCGACCCTCTACCATGATAGGCTGGAATTCGGGTAAATCAGTACTCGCTTTTACACTATGCAAGGAAATTTAGTATATCTCAGGTTCTACTCTTCTGCAAGGGGAATGGGAGGGGAGGGTAAGATCTTCTCCATTCTCGCCATGAGATCAATTTTCCACCTTCGTCTTTGAATTTGCCAATAACCGAGACTAAAAGCTGTAATCGGACACAACTGAGCAATCGATAAAGTTAAAAGCTTACCAAGAGGAGAAAGTGACGAGGGTTCAATTTCTTCTCTGCCTCTTCAACTGTTGTGCCAACAAACCTGACGAAACGGCACGCCTTTTGAAAGCGTGAAAGGTGACGAAATAAAACACCTTGAAAGCTATTCATTACTAAAGCAAAGATAAACCGACCGTTGCTAAAGGCTAAAAAGTCAAGAACTAAAATGCACATACTAACGATGGTGTAGGGCAGAACACATATCGAGCACGTTTACAAGACAGAATTATAAAAGGTGAGTTTTGAGAAAGTGGTTCAAGAACAAAAAACTTTGATACATAAATAATAGAGCACTGATTTGAATGTCTGTGCTACTTTGCAATTAACAAGGGAAATTCGGCATTATAGAGATGTGCTGTTAAGCAAAATGTTACGTTTTAAAGACATTCAGCTTTTATAAAAAACATTCAGCAGCTTATAATGATTTGACTAGCCTTACTGTTGGCACTAATGCGCGAAAACTTTGATTGTACTAAATCGAACCAGAAAACGAAATCAAGAGCCAACAGGCGCCATTTCACACGGGTTCTCACATGCAACATACATCGAAAGAAAATATGTTAAAGAATTAATTATCTAAGGCATCGGAGCTGCAGTAACTGAAGCAAAACCACCTGAAACATCAAATTGTGCGCATGGGCTAATCGAATTGAGTAGGCTAAGTTGTTCCACTGACTGCTGGTTTCAAAGTAAGCTAGGCGTAGACTTCACTCACAAATTCAGTATCCAAAACTTGAGATATCAGCAAAAAAGAAGTCAATGCATGACCAAAAGCCATTGACTATCTTTGAATACATTACAAACGACACTCCGCGAAATGGAACACCCCCACTCTCTAGCAATTTAAGAAAGGTTGTCAACACCTAACCACGACCAGCTTAAGCAGAAAACTAATACTATGCAGCAATCTCAAGCTGTCTCCCTTTGACTGCTTCTGATAGCTACCGTCCGCCGGCTACGCATCACTAGGCAACTCCATTGGCGACCCACCCGCACACCGACGCCAGACAACAGGACACCATAAGACATGTGTCACACCAGCAACGACAATGAAGAAGAGATACGCGCAGCTGGTGGGACCCCTGAAACTCGCCAAGACCCGACGCGACCCAACGCGCATCCAGCCAGGATCAACAGCCATCCCAGGAGTGCAATTTGCCCTTGGATATTGTACAGTCTTTCAGCTTAGGACAAACAAAATGGAGTGCGTTTTGGAGTAATATGGACACCTATACACAACTCAATGACGGTGAACTCGATCGCGATCCTTGCCACTGCGTTTGCGATCTAAAAAAGGTAAACATGCAAAGTTCAAGTAAATCAAATTTATGAAGGGTAGAAGATAATACAAACCTGTAGAATCCTCGCGATCCCCGCGCCGACGATCACGTGAACGACTGCGACTTCGCCTTAAAAAGTAACATGAATTTCAAAAGATGCATTATCGGCTGAGAACCAACCCCAGACATGCATCAATTGTGGTCAGAAAAATTAATAAACGAAAACCATTTCAGATAGATATGAAAAAGGAATTCGGATGCTAAATATTTTCAAACATTAACAAGACCAAAAGCCCTATTTAGGTAAAAATTGCAATTATGAGCACCCAACAAAAAGAATCACCGCAGAAACAGCACAAGTAGCACCGTACCGTCGTCTGTCCCATTTATCCCTCTCATCCCGCTCACGTCGCCTGTCGTACTCATGATCTCGATCACGATGACGATGTTTGCGATGGCGTCTACTATCCTCATCGTCCTCCTGATCGCGATGTTTTTCGCGTTTCTGATCCCTTCGTTCCTTTTCTTCATGCTGATCAACCTCTTGAGAAGCCTCAAGCTCCTCATTAATGTTTATTTCCTCCAAATCCTCATCAAGAATCGACTGGCGCGGCTCAAGAGCATTATTATCCTCGAGAACGGAGCGCTTCTGGAGCCGCGGCAAGATTACATCACAGACTCGTTCCTCGTTAAGTAGCTGATCAATAAACTCATCCATGCGTATGATCGAAAATTCTGAAAAAAACTGCGTCAGGATGTGATTCAACAAACATACTGCCCGTGGTGTCCTGTTGTTTTAATTTACGAAAGTCATTGTAAAGGGCCTCCAAGTACTTATAGATTTCCACTGATTCTCCTACAAGGCGCAAATAAAATGCACCAAGTGCTCTTGCATATCTAGAAAATCTCTAGGAGATCAGGTTACTACTTGTAATCTTCCTGCTTAATAAATTCGATGACAATATCTTTATCAGGTTGAATTTGGAGCATTTTCAAGACTAGACAGATAAAAGGAGTTGGTTTGGTTAAGCCACCGTATGTGCCCCCAATGTACTTCAGCTCCACAGCTTTGTCGACAAGGAGCTCGGCTAAAAAGTGGAAAATATAAGCCAACCTTACACGTTAAGGCAAAGCAGTGCTCCTTCCAGAACTGGCATTCATATATTCGGCTTCTTATGATCTTCTCTATCAAATATTGCGGGTTGGTGCCATGAAGCGTATGAGCATCTTTGACAGTTCGATTAGCCATGTTAGCAAACCAAGCGCCGACCCTTAAACGGCGAGACCCAAACACCCAATCAAATCGTGCGATTAATCAAGGTCATCTATACTTAAAATAAATCAAATCTGTTGTAAATGTTAAAAACTTAAACATTGGATGAGCATGCTATAGTTCCTGATGGATATTGTTCGACTGTCGACTGCTCTAGCTTAAGCCTTTTCAGGCGTACGCGAAGTTATCTCAAAGTTTTCCATTGGAATAGAGCTACAATGCTTTAAGTTACATTGTGTAATGCCTTTAGTCGTTCGTCTGTTCCGATAACAAGAACCGCGAATGGTAAATTTTACTAGCTTGTACTAGCTTGTTTAATTGTACTTTTATAGGTGAGAGGCGAGAACCAATATGGAAAGTGAATCACGTGCGTTAAGTCGGCGAGGAGCCTCCCTCCGATTGATACTTCCACTCACCTATTCTCTATCCCATTCCCCATACGTCCTAATAGCAACCAACTTCTTGAAGTCTGAGAATCAGGGACCAGAGGGTAGACAGGCAGTTCCTACATTTCCATAAACGAATAAATGCGTGATCCAAGGGGCAATGTGTTTCTATCATATATAAAGCAAATCTCGGCGGATAGCCCACGGACAAAGTTAACGATGCTTCTATGGCGTCTCGAGACCTCCTGGCCTGTATAAGAAGTCAGTAAGTGCAGCTGATTACATGTATTCTGAAGACAACAGGACAAACGGGTCTGGGCATAGCTCGAAGGCCGGCTCACATGTACAAGGGCCAAACAAATCCTAAAGTGACCGTCAAACGTCATGTGGTCACATAAAAAAGTATTACAGCTTCACCAATTTCCACGCCTGCGATTAACTTCCACAAACTAACTCGTGCGTTGTCGACGCGCACTTAGGTACAGGACTGCTGGTACGATCTTGGGTCGGTCAAAGATTTGCAAGTTGTCTGCCACCAAAATCGGGAGATAGAAAAATAAGCGATGTACTGTAGCGTCCCGAGGCTTCTCATAGGGTGGTAAAGGGGATAAATGAGGTTGAAAAATGTATTCCGAAGGCGACAGGGCGAATGGGGCCTGAGTGTGGCCCGAAGGCCAGCTCAAGTGTACAGGGGCCAGACCAACTCTAAAGTGACCGCCAAGCGTCCGGTAGTCACATAAACAAAGTATCACAGCTACTTGTTGAAAATATTATACTTTCTTCAACAATGGCAAATTACTTTCAGAAGCATGTTCTTCTTAGTTTCGGGAGGTTACTTGCTCATATTTTAACTTCAGAGGCTTCCTATTTAGTGGCAGAAGGCAGTAGATGTTTCTGAGTGCCTGCATTCAGAGGTACATGGATGAAATTGGGCTTTGTTTTGGCCCTAAAGGCAACTTATCCAACAGGGCCCTTTTAACAACGAAGTGATCGTCAGTCATGTAGATGGTCGACTAAGCATATTATTATGCATATGACTTCATTTTTTTAAGTCGTCGGCGGATAGGCTTATCTGTGGGCTAGGAATGAGTTGCAAGCTCCCTTAAGAGGCATCTGCTCTCCGACAAAAAATCTATCCACATGTAATGTGATGCATCGTTTTCTTGCACCCTAGTGCCGATTGCGGTCACTTAGGTGGCCATATTTTATTTTATGGGCAGACTGCCCTTCAGGCAACGCTAAAAGTTTCGACCCTTTGTCCCTTTTCTTAAAATATGCTTTCCGCTTAAGCACTATACCTCCCCACATCGATGAGGAAATTTAGAGACCCTCTAGCAAAGTTTTATAATGTTACAATGTGTAGAATCCATTTCTAGTCAATGGGAATACTGTAGCAGTTTTACGAACCTAAGCTCCTTTTGCTCATTTTGCGAAAAAAAAAAACAAGTGACCCAATTTTTCCTGTTGTGAGTTTACCTTTTACTTAGAGACATTGACAACCATGGCTCGTTTTATATCCATCAACAATGACTGGCCACACCTTCGTTGCGTCTTTCAATAAGCATGGAAGGGGAGGAACTTGACCATTCCAAACAAATTCACATACTTTGTTGATGCCTTATCACAACACCAGTAGGCATAAGTGACGTACAGTGAGTCTTCAACAAGGTATTAATGAACCAGAGCTGTTTAGAAGAGTCTGCCTTGGATGTAAAGCACTAGTGGTAAGCTCTCGGTTACGCTAAAATGGAACTTCGCTTGAAACATCTGGTCATATTTAAGATACGCAATGCTCTTTAGACGTGCTTTTTCGTTAGAGATGGAGGAACAGCTGGACATTCCTTATGGAGCAGTTATCAGGTCATGAAAACGCTGAATGGGATTAAGAGGTGCTCATTTTCTCTTCACTGCTTCCTTCTGTTTCTTTATGTCTAATGAAATCCATCAAAGAACTCAGTTTCCTCATGTGCAATCCAGTCATTTGGTTTGGAAATGATAAAATGAATCTGCTTTAGTCCACTGCTAGTGGCTATACCAGTGGAATCCTTGATATTTGTACAGGCATAGCTGTTGCATTTGCATCCGGGACGACGGTCGAAATCTCCCCTTTTAATTTAACCTTGAAACGATCTGCTATGCCTCCAAGCAACTTTTGCACACCTTTGAGTAAAAGGTGGATACTTAAAGGATAAAAGAGTCTGTTTCCATTAATCTAGAACAACCACATTATGGGGAAGCGAGGGTGGCTCAAATGGTCCATTACGGAGGACGAAGAGCATCTGTGCGCTATTTCCATCCCCAATCCGTCATCAAAGTTTGTCAATCCGTTTTGCAATTGGTATAGTATGTTGCATTACTAGGGTCCAATGTGATCCACTCAGCAGAAACAAAAGCGGATAGTGAAAAAGGTCGAGATGTTACAAGCACCTTACTGTAGTCATAGTAATTGAGCAATTCATTTAACTCTTGGCTTGGGTAAAGGTCAACTGATAGGCTCCGTCACCGCTCCTTAGTCAAGTGGCTCGGCCTCTCCAATCATGCCGATAGCCTCAAACCCTTCGTTGCGTCAAACATGCGTATTCTGTTCAATGATCGTGGCACCTGTCTTCTTCGAAGATGCTTGAGCCGCTACAACGGTGGACAAATCTTTTAATTTTAGAATTGAGAAATGACTCAAAAGTGCGGTTATGGAGACATTCCATTTAAGAAACCTCCTTTATTTTTCCTTTTTTTGTAAATAAGTGGTGTGGGTTCAACGCGTGACGACAGTAGCGGTAAGACAGAAATGAGTAAACGATCATACAAGGTCCTTCGTGACACTGATACAACGAAGCTTATTTGAGCCATTGCAGAGTCTACGTCAAGTTGTTTTGATCATTTGTTTGTGGAGAAGTTGGTCAAAATGTGTTATAAGAAATAATAGTAGTAAAACATTGGGCGCATTTACAACTTAGACTGTGAACGAAACCTAACAGATATTTATAGGTCCAAACGCTTGTTCAAAGATGGACAACAGCCCACCATTTTGGTACGGTGGAAAAGTACTATGCTCAGTGCGTTCGAAGTGTCAATTTAAAAATGCTTATAAATTACCGAAGTACAGACACGCCTCAATGGTAAGCTGGGCATTCCATCCATGTCTAAGGATATGAAAGCCTCCAGAGCGCAGCATGACTGTGGCAGTACTAGCGAATATGATGTGTAGTGAAGAGGAACGGCCGAACGGGGTGAGAACGTCAGTTGAGGCTAAGAAAGGATCTGACTCCCTTGTCTGGTGGCGCCGTCCTACCTGCGCCACCTACCTGTGGTGGTGCAATAAGTTCCCCGAAATTTGCTCCTTCTGACCTTTGGGTGCCTTAAGGAATTAAAAACGCTGACATGCTTGCTTTTTCTGCGGAGTGAGCAGAAGCAGACTCACTGCATTTCAATCTCCAAAGGAGCGACAATGGTCGTCTCTCAAAGTCAACTTGTTTACGAAATCGCCTACAATTTGGATACTGGTGATCACGAGGTCTTGGCTCCCATGGCCACACACAAAAAGCGTTTAACAGCGACTGAAATGGCAGCCATGAAGTGATTCACTTGTGAAAAATTCTCTAATTTTCGTTAACTTACGATGTTTTTTTTGTTTTAAATGCATTTAGTTGATTCTGAAACCAATTTCTTGGCCACTTCGTAGGACATGATGAACAAATAGGACCATCACAGGACTAAGTAGTCGCCTGCTAGATTTCTCCGTCTGATGATTGCCTTAATGGAAGGAAGAATGAAACCACTGATTGCTTAAATTACAAATAAAATCTGATGCTTATACGCTTGCAGTATCTTTTTCCTCAAATCTCCGTTTAACCGTTGTCTCCATTGTGGCGCAATTTGCTGTACACTTGGAAGGAAGACGACAATCTCCTTCTCAGCAAGGGGATTAACTATGCAAATAAGTTGGACTTCCTTTCAGCCTGTAGAAATGGGAGTGTGGCGCGAAAATTCAACACAAAATCTCCTTGCGCCTTTAATGCAACCTGAAGGGGAGAGCCTCTCAGACAGACGCGAACCGTTGTCGACATCGCCGCCGCCACCACCAAGTTCACTCACGATAGGCAGGTGTTTGACTTTAAGTCAAAAAGTTGTGTCAAAGCTCAAGGGAAAAAAGTAAGCTTTTGAGATCTAAAAGTACAACGACTGAAAAATGCGCACCCAAATTGAATGCTTGGAGGAGGCAAAAAATAGTATCCTCTTTGCTTCAGAGGAGTCGAAAATTCCACGCCCACGCTATCAATGGGTAGAATTATTTGCCACCTCTTCGCCATTCATGCTCACTACAAAACACTACCAACGCTATTTTATTGTACCAAGTGTAACAACACTACAAAACAAAATGCCAGTCCGTGAACGTCGTCATGCTTAATTTTTTGAAATGTTAATTCATTTCACCAGCATGCATAAAAGTTGTTCGCACTTCTCCATTTTCTTATAACCTGTTCACATCTGTTTCCCTTGGCCAAGTCAACACGGAGGAGAATCAAATGGCTATCAAGAACCAAAGCCATCAAAATATGGACCCCTCAGGAAAAATAGAATAAATAAATAAATAAACATACGCCAGAGGACGTAACGTAGTAATGCAGCGAAGTGATCATCTAATCAAGTTTCCTTCATAAATGCTTGCCACTATTTTTCCGAACAACTTACGTGTTCCTTCATACGAGCAATTGACACGTTCTCTTTGCTCCTCATTGTTGCATTTGGGTCTCCTTTAACGTCGATTATTAGGCGCATAATGAAACGGCACGCTTGGTAGTACTGAAGGAAGCGAGTCCTCTCTACTGTGAACATGATGACAAACTACATTTTCTGCGTGACTCCTCGCAAGGTAACTCAGTCTCTTACCTTCATGTTTAGCACAACCACAGGTGGCAGATGCCCAAGCATTAACAAACGTAACCTCCCTCAACCAAAAACATCAAGAGTAGACTCTATAATTACACTTGGGATGATAATCTAAGGGATACATAAGGCGGTACCTGATGTCAAGTGGTCACCACTCTCCATGTTTGCATGCACATAAATTTGCGTAAGGAGAATGAGCGATTGGTTTTAACTCTTCGATTTGGGCATAGGGATAGGACGTCTAGATAGAAGTGACTTGTTGGTAGGGCTTGGCTCGCTTCCTTGGCCGCTGCAAAGGAGTGTTGATTGTGCTTGAGGGACTGTGAGCTAGGGCCTCGGAGAGTGAGGTTAGTGTTTCGGCGCCGGAGCAGGTATCTGGGCAGCGACAGACCGCCGTGGATAAGAGTTCTGCACCGTCACGATCAGAATCCGAGGCGGTGGAACCCTCCACTTGGTGCACATTCATGGAGGGGTTGTTTTTATTGCTGAGGTGCCCAACGAACCGCCTCTTGTTAGCTGCAGAGTCAGACTGCCGCAGACACTGTGAGTGTGGCAGTCGTCCAGGCGATGGGTCGTAGTAGAGTTTGTCGGAGAGCTTTTCCTCACTCTCAGAGTATGAGGAGTAGCTGACGGAAATCGAAGGCGTAATGGAATCGCTAGAAGTTGAAGAACTACTCTCTGAAGTGGGTCTTTGATGGAAATTGGGCGATCGTCTACTGATGGAGTTTGGAGTGTTGCCCTGGTGCTGTTGATGTCGCTGCTGCTGATGTTGTTGCTGCTGTTTTGCCATTTGTTCGCATTCACGGCAAGAGTAGTAGAGCAGCTGTTTAGAGCTTTGGGTGGACTTGTGACAGGAAAGGAAGTCAGGGATCTCCTCCTCGTTGCGAATGTTGACAGCACTTCTAGCATTGCCTCGTCTTAAGCGACCAACGGGGAGTACACCAGTCATGGATTCTGTCGTCAAATCTACAATTCTACGACGTTTTACCGAAGGCCAACGCACACTTTCATCAAAGGGACTACTGTTGACGATTTCTGTCGGCTTAGGAGACTGAGGACTGTGTGCAGGTACCTCGAGAACTTGAATTTTTTTACTCGGAGGTTTAGCGTGGGGAATGACCTTCACACGCGTTGAGTTGGTGATGTGGTTGGAGACGGCGATGTGATTGCTTTTGGACACCAAAGGTCGACGGTTGGTTGAGAGAAATGGTGTGTCCCTGGGTTTGGCTTTGTCAAGGCAATTTTCGGTGAGAGATATTTGAGCAACTGATGTTGTAGCGGTAGGAATGCGTGAGGGTGAGAGGAGGACGGTTGAAACACTGTTTATCATATTATAGCCGTAAACGCGGGCTTTGTTGCGCTGATTTTGTCTGTGTCGTAGTTCGGCGAGGAAAAGATGAATCACGAAGACGCCAGAGAACTCACTAAGTACAAAGGCCCCAATGCAGAGACGAAAGGCCGCGCCAAAGGAATAAACATAGCGCGTCTCTACTCGCAGTGGACCCGAGATCGAGTCGAAGGCCAAACTTACGCTGCCCACGTAGAGTACAATACCTATGAGGGTCAATATGCCTAGCGAAGAAAAAAATTTAACCCGATGTGGATTGAACTAGTGACTAAAAATAATGCACCTTAGCACAGATGCTGGACGGCTTCTCTCATAACAGCTAACGTCTTGCAACAAACAAACACATTCGACTCTTTAACTTTGACAACTGCCATAAAACGCATTTCCTTTAGCTGTCACAAGTAATGTAGAATCCTAGTTTTGGGAATTACGTAGACCTCTAAATATTACTTTAGCAGTATTGCTAAATCCTCAGTCTTCAAAGTTCAAAGTGAATATAAATTAGAAAAATGAGCTTTACAGAGCTTTAAACGAGTACATGGATCTTCTTTTCGTGTTCAGTGTATTTGATGAGTGTCTCAAAAGTTCCAATGCTCCCAACGCCTACTAAGCAACAAATTAAAGGGCTACAAACTCGAACTGATTGCGAACCAAGCTAGTGGATGATGCCACAACTGAAGCCCATAATTATTGCAACAGAGCAAACAAACTCATTTGTTTACTTGCAAATAAGGCGAAACAAATGGGAATTTTGGTCTTCACAAAGGCTAGCCGAGTTGACTCCAAGAGCTAATGAGACTGCGGGTGGGCTTAAAAGTAATTGTGCTAGCCAACACAGGGAACCACAGTAACAGGGCCATGAGGATGTCAAGTGAGTACAGAGGAGAAGGGAAGAGAGCTCACCACTAACAATGCAAGCCCCACCACTGAGAAAGAGAAGGCGCCGACTACGCCTCCGACCCCAGCAGGCCGCCAGCCCACAGCCACCACCAAGGCAGAGCAGCAGTAGCCCCGCGGGGGGAAAGAATGCGGCGGGTCGCATCGAGTCTGCCAATGCATTCACAGATGTGATTAAGTTCTCTACACATGTCCGATTTCGTTCACTATGCTCCGCAAAGAGTCGTCCTCCTTTATCTGCCACTTGGCTTGATGTAGCGTTAGTCAAGCAAAAACGGCAAGTGATTAACGAAGACGCAGTCGCAGGTGAATTTAAAGCATAAATATGGGGAACGTAAGGTCTGAAATTATGCAGTTTTGAAAAGGCTTAAAAGTCGCTGTGGACCAATACCTAGAAATTGGCAAGGAGGATTTGCAAGGTTTGTTTGGTCAAGGAAAGAATTAGAAAATGTGAAACATAGTGACAACTTTGGGCGATGCAAGTTTTCGTATTTGTCCTAATCCCATAAGACTGCATCTTCAGCACGATGTCTTGCCGCTGCAGAAGCAAACAGCATTGCCTCCTGCTTCCCCAAAGTGCTGTGAGTTCCTAAACAGGCTTACCTCTTTTGGAATAGAAGACGTTGATGTGTCTCCATTTTTAAAACTTTAATTCTTTTAAGCTTCACATTTTTATGTGTAGGAGGGAAGATCGGTGCTCTCTGTTTAGAATGTATGCACTACCTCGTCATGAAAGTTTTTTTGGGCCGAATACAGTAATCGGTTCTTGGATGGAGTCGATTCCACTCGGTCTCAAAATAGAATGCCTTAATTGGAGTTTCTTCGTATCTCAAGCTTAAGGCAAAATAAAAAGGAGAAATTACGCAACGACTTTTAGTAGTAGTGGTAGTATGTTCGCAAAATCGAAAACGTAGATGTCATCTGCTTTGAAGGCGCAACAGGGACGGAGACTGCGTAGTCCACATGCAGGAGGAATGGAGGCTACTTTTATGATCTTCAGGTCTGACCGCCCCAACTCGGCGCAATGGTGGTTCGCTGGGTGGTCCGCCACCAGGCAGAGTGGTGCATTTCGACTGCCACCTTTCAAAATGCTTACTTAAGCACATAAGAGCGTCACGCTTAATCACAGACTCGCTCTCAAGATTAAAGCCTGTTTACTATGACAACGTTCCACCAAAATGGAGCTGCGGAGGGTTTCGCTGAGTGGTTTTAGCTAAACTCTTGGTTAAATAATTCACTGACTCAACAAAATAAGTGGAGGGCGATATTATTAATCTCAACAATATTATTTCACACAATGCTCTGGCATCTGCTGCTGAACAGAAGTTTTCATTGCGAAGTATGCCTAGGTGTGGGACTTATTAAACCAACATCAGTTCGAGGGAGAACTTGGCATTGCAAAGTGAGCGCTAGAAGCCCGGTTAAATTAAGCCTGGCTCATGCGTAGAAGATGTTGCAGTTTAGCGATAAATTCTCTTGCACAGCTGTTGCTTGGCTCTGGTTTTTTTCTCCCCTTTGATCTTGTCTTTTTAGGCCTGTGGTTGCCCTGAGCTGGCGAAAAGGCAGTGCTTGGACCTGCGCGCGTTTGATGTGACGACAGTTCTCAGTGTTTGCAAAATCTTTTACCCAAGCACTTCTGAAAGGCACTTAAAATTTCCCCTCGTCAGCGGTTAACTTTAAAAAATTGGAACAAGAAAAAAGATAGGCCTACAGCGTCGAGTTAGTCGTTGGCATGCTTTTTGAATAGGACCTTAAACAAAAAGTCCACCTCTTTGTTATAAAGTTAATTTAAGCAGCAGGAAGACCAAAGTACTTATCAGCATAAATATACGCGATTGAAGTATGCTGGATCGAATATTTCTTATTGAAAAATGAATAATTTAAGCAAAAGTGTTATATGTAAAGATTTGTCTGTAATGGCGTTCATAAGTTCACTTGTCACTTGATATTCAAACTTCAACCAGCCGTCTGATGACGTTTACACCCAGAGGGGTACATCACTCAGTTTAACACCTTCAGAATTAGAAGGAGCGTTTGGTGCACATAAGCCAACTCCTTAAACTCACTTAAATTACTTGTCTTAGAACTTAATTAGAGTGCGTGTGCATCTCAAATGCGAGGGAAAATTTTGCTCCTCCGCTCTGGAGAAAAAAAGGTTTCGTGACATCGGAGGCGTTTTCTCTCTCAACTCGCTACCGGCAGTATCACAGATGGGATTATAGTGGCTCGTCACTTACTTTTCCCCACTGAGACTTTTGTGTCAGCTGCGCAATTATATCAGGCTCAAATTTTAAGGGGAACTTTTAACCGTCAAAATTTTCCTTCTCGGGTATTCGCCGCGTTCAGAATAGAGTCTATTAAGCCATTCATTCCCATTAAACTCACCATCGTTCAATTGTGTGTGAGAGGAAGAATTTTAGCTGTGCGTTTAGGAATGCTCGGAATGCAGCGAAGTAAAATACAATTGTCCAAGTATTAATCCCGCATGCACCTCTTTCCTCATTCCAACGCTTGCCAATATGCACACTAAACGGCACAGTTTAATGGGTGAAGTTTACTTATAAAGCAGATTTTTAATTGCCAACGTCTCCATCAACTTATTTCCTTGGGTCAAGTCCAAGCCAATTCCAAAAATTAAAATCCCAGGATTCTGTTGAGTCTCTTTAACATGTTGTGCATTTAACTACTCCTTTTAAACTCACTCCTTTTACAGTTCTACAATGAAATGTGGTCAAAGTACAATAAAACGATTGTTTAGATTACAGAGGGTGGATAGAAATGCCAGACGGTGGAATTTTGACGTGGCCAGATCGAAGGTTTCGTGACTTATCAATTTCGGCGACAACGGAGCAGCCACCTATTTTGGGAGTGAAATAAATTCAGTCCAAGAGAATGCATCCTCCCTTGGGTAATTGAACCATAAATAACGTAGCCCACAGAATTCCACAGACAGCAGTGCAAGGATCTGGAGAAAGATGGGCTGAAATGAAATCTGCCATCTACATACGCAATCCATTGTATTATGGTGCAAATGAAAACGAAAAACTGACTGACTTGTTTGTTACACAGCAACTCCAAATTAGAGGCGGAATCGGAGGCAACAATTCAGTCAGAACGACCCACATTCATGTTTGCCTTCAAATGGAGTGGAGTGGACAGTTATTTTGTCTGCGACGAAGTTAGATTCAGTGCGTGTCCAATCTGCGGAAAATTCAGTTTGTGTTGTCGAACTGCTTCTTATTGCGCCACAAAATCTTTTCGATTAAAGACTCGAAAATTTATTCCAAGCAGTAAGTGTCGACAATTAAGGCAAAAAACCTAGTGAAAACCAGGTTGAATATTTAGATGCAACCATTAGCGAATAAGGCGGATTCGAGCAAACACATCACTTAATTAGTTTCTGTTACTACCAAACACGAAGCGGCCATTTAAATGCGACTGTTGGGTGGATGGGTGTAAGCACAAGGGCGATATATTTAGGCAGCAAGAGATGCTTGTGTTGATAATCGTGTCCGATCATTGCTGGAATAAAAAGCGGCCTCGTTTTGTCCCGAGGGAAAAAACAAACTTTACATTTTCAAGTGTCAAAGCCCACTACCACGGGCACACGGGGGAGTTGAGGCAAACGCCTGGGTGGAAAATTAGCTCAAGCCTCTCCACTCTTAGTTGTTCAAGCTAAATTTGATTAGACGATTTCGAACTTTTGGGTCTTGAGGTGACTGTTGTTGTTGTGGCCGTGGAGTCGCATTCACAGACTGGTGTACTAGAATTGTGTAATGTGGTAAAACTAACAAAGATGGGGTCCAAATTCAGGCCAAATGATATTCTGGTTTTGCATTAGCCTAATTTCTGTTGTTCTACTCTTTTTCCATCTTACTGGAGCGTATAATTATCGTGCTTTTGTCTCTATCCCCGAGGCAGCGTCCAAATTTTAATGTGTTCCAGCTTTGATGGCCCTCATGCTTTTCACTGTCTCTGTATGCGGTTTCCTTCTCGGAGATTTATCTTTGCCGAAGCTCACTTTTTGACGCATAAGGGTTAAAAAGTCTTCGAAACTTCTCCACAAGGCCATTGTAACAAGAGGAAGAGTTTTAATTCGGATCAAATGAAGATGTGGGGAGCAACTTTACCATGTTAAAAACAACTAATACTTGTATTCTAAACCGGTGAAATTTGTCCCTGCAAAAGAGCACGGCTGACAGACATAGTAAGCTCCAATCATCGCTATGGCTTACCCAATAAGGTCATCTATGATGGATGGTAGAGGAAGAACAACCACTTAGGAGAAATCTTGTGGTCCTTAAAGTACGAATGGATTGCGGCGTAGTCAAACGCGTAAAATGTTTGTTTAGGACCTAGTTTGGGCAACACTTCACTAGGGAACTACACCACTGATCCTCTGGGTCGTTCGACCAGTCCCCACCTCCTTTGCACGTCAGCAATGCATATCCCTCCTTATCGTGCCATCTTCTTTTGACTTCAGAGGAGTCCTGAAATACCTTCGAGGTCTAGTAAAGTATGCTTTATTTGCCGTGTGTTTTTATTGTTTTGAGTAAAAGAAACAATCAAAGGAAAACTTATAACTCAATTTAAAGGTGCGCCTGAGCATCAATGCGTTCAAACAACGGGAAAACAGTCATTTGTTTTGTGAAATGGTTGAAGTAAAATTATGTGCACAGAAGAATCGCTGAGTCTTTTTTATCCGAGGGATCTGCGTAACGTGCAGTGCAGCATGTCACTTATGGGGGACATGCGATTCTCCCAACTGATAGGGGGAATGCGGCGCAATTAACAGAATAATGGTTTAGTCCTACAGCAAGGAATTCATCAACATGGGAATACATACATGAGCATGAACAATAGCTAGCTGGGCGATTTAACACATAGGAATGGAATGAGCAGATCACTCACAAAGGATGCTCTCCGTGGGCTTGAGTTCGCCGGACTCCTTGCCTCGTTGTTGGAAGTGGGGTATGGATGAGCAGTTTTCAAAATGGTAATCATGGACCACTGCAGTGGAAAAAGGATCAGTTGAGACGGCATAACGAGCGTCTTGCACAGAAGACACGATGCGTTGTGCGATCAAGATTAATGCCATCTTTAGCAGACTATACTGTCACATTCAAACATGTCTGTTCCACTGTTATAACAACTTCCAAAGGTATGACAAATTCAGTTTTTTAAAACTTTGCAGTTATCGAACACTTGGGTGAGAGTGGTGGAAACAGAAATTTCATGTCTAAAACTACCACATTGGGCGTGAGCACAACACACGCAAGATAAAATCGCGGTTAACATTTTGCCTCCGTGTGCATGACATAATACTTCTAGCCTAGTCTTGTAGCCCAGGCTTGCGATTTCCAGTTGCTCATACGAATTTTAGCATAGACTGGGACTATCCGTGGACTATGGAGGATTGGATGTTTTGCCTGGTGTGAATCTTTCCCACTGTACCTGCTTCGGGTGTAAGAGGAGGGTGGGCACAATGTACGGAGTAAGGGGAACCACAAAACTGTAAAACGAAAGGGTGTCAAGAGAGTGCCACAGACGCAGCCTCTCCCAAGTCGAACAGTAAAGCTGAATGAAGTTAAATTGCGATCACAAAGTGACTGTCAGTTGAGAGTTCTGTCAGCAATCAGCGAACCAAAATAGAAGTTAAGACAAGTGTCGGCGTCGTAGTTTAGAGCAAAACTCTGCCATATGCTAAAACAGAGGGCAGTGATTTTATATTTAAGCTGACACTAAACTTTACCGCGTATAATAGCTTCCGTTAAATCCAAAACAATTATTTAAGAACGGATTAAGAAGACCGCTTATGTGTCCAAAAAGAGTGGAAAAGTGGGTTAATTTAAATGCGATTCGGCAAAATTCTTCGAAAATGGCCTAATTAATGTAAATTTGAACCTTAAAAGTGGAGAGCCACTCTAGACCGCACTATCTGACAAAACTTTAGAAGATGAGGCGCTGCAAGCCTCAAATTAACGCTTCCGCCTCATGAGGATTGAAGGGCAGCCGAACGGGGACGAAGGTGATTGCCAATTCGTACTACTTGCATGTGGCACGCTGTTTTGTATGCAAGACGCCTGACAGGCAAAATGTGAGTTCACCCCTCTGCTAGAGTGTCAATGCTTCCACTTATTCCATGTGTGAGCTCACGGTGGTTGCGAGGGACCTTATGGTCATATAATGTGCTGTGTGGAGGCAATCAGTTTGAAATCACTGAGAACGGCGACTTCAAGAGTGCCAGAGGCGGGGAGACAACAAACGTGCAGGGATCATAAACTTTGGCGCTCTCTCCAAGAGGGGTGCGAATATCTAGGTGGGAAAAGTAACGAAAAACCATAACTGTGATAAACGTTGAAGTGTGGGTAAAATTTGGGCAGTATTCAGCAAGTGACCCAGTTTTCTGGAATCTTGCAAAAGTTGCTAGGATAGAGAAGATGGGATTTCGTTTACTAACTTGACTATTAAATGGTTCTCAATGTCTACGGGCTCGGAGTACACCAAATCCTCTTTGCTCTCTCAAAGCAGGAAATTTAGATAAATTTTATTGGATGGGGATTGTCAGAAGGATGAGATTTTTGGGTAGTAAAGGCTCGCTGCCATTCTCGGAGTCGCCTTTCTAGTGGAATTTCTAGGAGCACTATAAAAGCGCCTCAAATTTAGAGTTCGCGCAGTAAGTCACTTCGCCATGCATAGCAGGTTGAATTTGAATTTATGGCTGCTCTACTACTTCCATACAAGTACTTTGGACTGTCAAATTAGTACTCCAAACAAACCACCAACAATCCTTCTGGTAAGTTAACAAAGGAAGGCGTTATCACAAAAAAATTCGCAAACGTGAACCCCGAAGCAAAGCTAAGGGCTGGAGTGTTGTGAAGGGGAGGATTGCTCCGTGTTAAATAAATTGCGAGGAGAGGAAATGAGATTGCGTGAAGGCTTCCATATAGGTCGACCACCCAAGCAAAGTTGAAGTGAATTTTAACGAGTAAATTAGCTCCACATTTCAGTGCTATTTCCACTTCCCAACATCATAACCTTTTAGCAACATTCCTAAACGTCAAATCTATCCGATCTCATTCCGAGTGAAACGTGATGTTCCAGTCGCTCCACTGTGACACGTCCAACATTGTTTCGCTCGGCAGGCGTTCGTTTGATGACGGAAAGTGGTAGACAAATGAGGGAAACTTTATTGGAGGGCTACATTCTGAGGTAGAGTTGGAAACCCACTTTCGTGTTCCGCAACCTCAGTGCTGCTCAGGCAGTGTGCGACTGAGGCGTGAACAGGGTCACCTCTGCAGCATACGCTTCAAGCGGCAGACGTGAAGCTGGGAAAACGATACATCCAGCCCTGTGTCCTGTGGGAGTTTACACATCTTTTCAATGCGATACGCAGAAACTCTTGCATTCTTCATTTCAATTGCATGTGAATGACTATGATTCAAGTGCCCATGTCAAATGCACGACGCATTTGAGACGGGTCGCATCCATCAAGTAACTGACAATCAGCCTGTCGAGCCAAAGTTGAGGCAGTGGCTAGAAGCTGGGTCAATTTTAGTGGATCCACTGGTTCCCCTGTTGTTAGGTAGAAGGCTCTAAGGGATTCGCAGGGCAGTCAATTCAAGTCATGCTTCCAATTAAGACTGAATTTGTCAAGCTCATTTCAATGGATTAATTAAAAGCCACAAACATGTTATCTTGCAGATATAAAGAGGACACCAATCCTTAGGTCGCATTTCCCTTCCAGATTTGCGATTTCTGTGGAATGCATCCTCCTCCTGCCTATGACAGGAAGCACAAACAACTTCACAGCTACTGCATACAACACCAAGCTATTGTGTTTTCACCAAACTGTTTTATAGAGTGTGATGGGTGGTCCATCGTTTGAAAGGAGGCCAAGGTAACAAGGTGGTCGACGGTTGGAGTCTGGAAGGCCAGTCCAACCAAACTTTCTAGCGAAAGTCTTCCACCCCTTTCAATGATGACCTCGAAAGCCTTATTCCATGTGTATTTAGCGCCGAGTTGCTACAACAGGGTGGTTGTGAGTGAAATAGACTTGTAGAGCATATAAACAGTTTTTGCATGCAAACAGACCAGATTTTCTAAAAAAGGGCAAAAATGAACGTTTGGCAAGGTCATCAGAATTCTCAAAAGCTCTTCCGCGTGGGTCAATTTTCAATGTTAATTGCATGATGCCATCGACCTCCTGAATCGTGATGATACGCGATCAAAAGTTTCCCAGCACACATCCAACTCCATAAAGTCGAAACCCTCGATTCTGCACGTCAAATGTTTGCTAATAAATCACAATTTTAAATTAAGTATTTTACAAGAACTGTTTTATTTAACTATACAGTTGTTCATGAGTTCGCCTAATTTATTCATGTTGATTTTGCCGAATATCAGGCTGCACTTTGAGAAGGTGATATTTGCGTGACTTTAGCGAATTGCTAAAAATTTGCAGAGGCTGTTAATTGAGCAAAAAGAATGAATATTTATACTCTACAGTTTTTGCTGAAAACTAAACTCGAAGGGATAAATAAAGTTAACCGCACGATGTTGCATTTCGAACGAAGAGACTAATACCACAGAGTGAATGACAATGGAATGATGCTAAAAATGGGGAAATATAAAAAAAGAAAGTGAATGAACGGAAGGATAGGATAGAGCCATGGATGTGTTTGTGAAGACAACCTTGGAGAGAACTCACGCCACGATAAGTTCCATTGCGTGTTCTTGCCAACATCCTTCATGAAAAGATTTTTCTTGCAGACACGCCAAAGACCTGAGTGGAGGGTAATGAGAAAGGTAGCGTTAGAAGTCTCGTCCGGTTCACGTTCGACAGTAAAGAGCCAAGAATCCATAGCTATGGCGCAGAATAAGAGGAGGAGGGCCAGACTGCCTGCGCTCCAGCTGACGCCGAGTAGGAGGCGCTTCTGTCCCACCAGAGCTTCTATTCTTCGTACCCACTGTAGTGAGTGGAGCAGTCCCACTGACAGCCCTGCAAATGGCACCCCCTGCGGCACCGACTCTGACACCACGTCTTCACCACTCGCTTGCATGCCCGCTTCTCTGCATTTGCTCGTCCACCTCTCCTCACTCTCTCCTGCTTCTTTGAGTGTGCGGGGATATAGGTCTTTATTGCTTGCCTTTCTCCTTCGCCGTCTTGATCTTTTTTCTTCTTTGTCGTCGTTGCCTTGCGGTGGCCGCAATGTGGAGGACGCGATGCGTTCACGTGGCAGCGCATGGGAGCGACGAGCTTCAGCGCCAGCGTGCATGCGTGCGTGAGTGTGTGCAAGCGAACAAGCGCTCCTCCCATTGGCTGGGAGAAGCGATCTGGGATTGCCTGTTACTCTACGAATCAGCCTCTGCTTACTCATCGAATCGTAGGCGTTGTGAGTTATGACAAGCTCCAAACGCATCCGTTCTTCATCCACTCTACACTCCTTCTTGCATGGTGTCAGTCAACACGGGATGTTGTTGTCAATGTTCAGCCCGTCTCTCAAGCAGAGACACCGCTTCTCTCAAGTTACCCTTCAAAGTGCGGGGTGTAATCTTTCAAAAACACTACATGAGACTCATCACAACTTTCGCAACGATTTCCATCCATTCTTCTATTGTTTGATAAAAAAAGGCTAAATTTCTTGTTGCTCTTGAGTAATAAGGCAGTGGGATAGCCAAATACCATCAGCACACAAGACATTACTAGTATTTTAGGTATTATAACTGGATATACGGCAAAATAGGGCTATTTGGTAGTTTCAATACTTACAGTTGATTTCTAGCTTGAAGAAGGTATTGAACAAACTCCTGGAACCATCACTGAGCAGGTATTGCTTTGCAATGCTGGCTCATCTTACAACTTCAACAGATGGAGCTTCCATCGCATCAATTTAGGCTTTTTAATGTAACGTGGTTTCAGGTGATGGCAATTCAGGAGAGGTTTCGCAAATTTTTCCCTTTAAAACAACATTAATTAACGCGATTTCCATAGAGGCTGCGAAGGCGGGTGTGGTGAGGGTTTGCCGCAGGCACTTCGCAGTTAGCCAGACTACTATTTTGAGGCAGGGGAACATGGCCCACAAAAACTGAATTCAAAGCTTCGGTTATTCTGCTACGAGGCTGTTTTACCAACAGCAATTTAATCTCTCCTGTGATTACATCGTGGATCGGCAGTTGCCGTCACCACCCTTATAGACGGTGGCAGGCAGTATTTCAAATTCCATTTCATTCACACCATCTGAGTGCATGGATAATCCGATCCACAAATATCCATATTTATTTGACATTTGAGTTGCAAGCTTCAGACCTCGTCCTGGCTGTCTCTTGTAGCCTTGGAAATTTTTTTGTCTCCCAACTACGACTCAGATTAGTGTCTGCTAAAAGTTTGAGATCAGTCGCCTCTTTTTCAACACGGTCTCGTTGTGATAGGACAAAATGGTATTAAAAAAAACTATAAATTTTAGCAAGTACTACCAACTGTATCGCAATTTATCAGTGAGTTCTGGTCTGTATGATCCTTGCGTGTGCAATACATACATTCATTTGCGATGGTTCTCGCCTCAGCGTCCTGAAACGCTCTGTCTTAACGGTTGGGCAAAGTTGACTTGCCAATCTCGCGGTCATTGCAGCAGCTTCTTTATTTTGCCCTCATGCAGTGAATCCACTCATGCTTTTGAGTGC